TTTAATTCCCAGAATTACTGATGAGAAAGGTAAAGGTAAAAGGTAAAGGCCCTCCCGTTGATCGTCGATTTGCTTGAGCGGGCCCAGTAACGTCTCCATTGGAGACTTTGTTGTTACTGTGTCTGGCATATCGAATACTCTCGGTAGTTTGCCAGGCTTTCCGAGAGGGGCGGAGGAATCGAACTCGGGTCAGCCATGTTGGTCGCTTGTAAGGCGAACGCCCTACCCGCTGTGCTATTGCTCCACCCACTGATGAGAAAGCTAGAATAAAATGTATAAATGGGAATCAATAATATAGAGTGATGTTTTTCTGCATCTATAAAATTAAACAATACAATTTTATGTCCAAAGTTAAAAATTATGATTATACTTTTAAAATAGTTTAAAATGATTAAAATTTTTTGTTGAAATTCAGATCTATCTCTTTGAGATGTCAAAGAAAAGCATTTAACTTCTCTAAGCTCTATTTTCTCATCTGTAAATTGATGTTAAACAACTTATAAGGGAGAATATAAATTACTTCAAGATGAAAATATGTAGAAAGCTTTCATATAATGTCTTGTGAATTAGTATCTCTACATGACCGATCTGCTAGGGAAATAGATGTATTCCCCAAATATTAATGTGATAAATAAGTGACAGTGAATTTTGAGTGTCAGAACATAGGTATGGGTACTATATACTTGTGAGGTTTTTTGAATAGTATATATCACATGTAAGAACAATTTTGATTTGACAAGAAGTAACATATGGATTTTGATATCTTCAGTTATTTTCTCAACATGAGATTGAACGCTGAATGAACACACGCTATGAAATATTCACTGTCACTGTCACTTTCCTCCCGTTGTTCATCAATTTTCTCCAGCGGGCCCAGTAACGTCTCCATTGTGCCAATTGTTACTGTGTTTGGCATATCAAATACGTCACGGGTAGCTTACCAGGCTTTGCCATGCAGGCGAGATACTCTCGGTAGCTTGCCAGGCTCTCCATGAGGGGTGGAGGAATCGAACTCGGGTCGGCCATGTTGGCCGCTTGCAAGGCAAACTCCCTACCTGCTGTGCTATAGCTCCAGCCCTATCAAATATTATTTTTAGATTATGTATATTTGTCTGGGTATCATACTACTTGCCTGGAATTTCTAGCCTTTTTTAGAATTGTTTGTTAGTATAGATTGAATTTATCAAAACTAAGCCTTTAGAAAAAAACATAACTCTTTATGTTGCATCTCTTTTTAATGATGTTAGCAGTCATTTGAAACCATTAGATAAATATATTCATTCATTAGCAGTAGGAAATGGATAGCATAATTTGGTTATTTCTTCTTAATTTATTAACTGGTATATTTTAATGATAGAAATGTACCTTAATTGACTATTTCTTTAACTCAGAAGGTTTTTATGTAGAAAAATAAAATAGATGCTTTATGCTTTTTAGGTTATTTTCATTTTAAAAATAATGATTTTCTGTGTTCCAAAAAAATCAGTAGGTGTATTTTTATCACTTGAATGCATGTGACATAAGATACAATAATATATGAATATAAGAATATTTAATTATTTCAATTGACAATTGTATAATAACAAATTATCACTGTAATTTCTTTGGAAATACATTCAGATTGGTCCCAGCATCTATTTTTTTTTCGCTTTTTTAGTTCACACCCGGTGATGCATAGGGGTTACTCCTGGCTCTGCACTCAGGAAATACCCCTGGCGGTGCTCAGGGGACCATATGGGATGTTGGGAATCGAACCCGGGTTGGGCGCACGCAAGGCAAATGCCCTACCTGCTGTCGTACTGCTCCAGCCCATCCTGCATCTTTTTTAACATGATCCTAGCACACCTTTATGTTTTTCTTATTTTCTGGTAGGAGGACTATAAAACACCATTATTTTTATAATATTTAATAATATTTACTAATATTTTTACAAAATAATATTTTACTAATATTTTTCAAAATTATATTTTACTAATATTTTCAAAAATATTTTACTAATATTTTCACAAAATTTACACACATAGAATATGAATCTAATGGGTAAATAGATCCACTGATTTAGGAAAAATACAGGGAATGATGTTGTAGTATATGCTATGAATACTTGGTGGTTATGAGAAATCTAGAATGTGAGATAACCTAGGTTTTCCTCCAGTAACTTTGATTTTAGTTAATTATTAAGAAAGCTGCCTAATTATTATGGAAATGCATTAGTGAGATCCTACTGCTTACTATGTGTTGCCTTCCAAAACAGCAGTTGAACAATGCTAAATCATGGTGATAGTCTGGAAGAGTTTGAAAGCTATACTTTTTATGTATATATGTTTTTATGTATAGTATCTCTATAGTTTGAATTTAAAAAGGCAATCTGGAACTACAAATTCATTCTTGAATAAAATTTTATAGTTTCATTAAAGTTAAATAAATAAATGATAAACATTGTTATGTTGTCCTTTATGTAAACTCTCACTGTCCTTCCGTTGTTCATTGATTTGCTCGAACGGGCCCAATAATGTCTCCACTTTGAGACTTGTTACTGTGTTTGCATATTGAATCCATCATGGGTAGCTTGCCAGGTTTTGCCGTGTGGGCGAGATACTCTCGGTAACTTGCTGGGATCTCCAAAAGAGGCGGACGAATCGAACCCGGCTCAGCCGGGCTGGCTGCGTGCAAGGCAAACACCCTACCACTGTGCTATCGCTCTAACCCATGTACACTAATTTTTTCAATATTATAGCATTGTAGTATTGTCCTCCCATTGTTCATCGATTTGCTCAAGCAGGCCCAGTAATGTCTCTATTGTGAGTCTTGTTACATCAGTATTAGAAAATAAAGTAAATTAAGTATTCTCCATAAAATCCCAGTAGCTGTATAAATCTATCATGGAGCAATGAAAAAATGGAATCACATACACATTATGAATATGGATGTTTATGGATGTTTGTTTATGTTGGCTTTATAATGTTCTCAACTAAATGTTGTTCTACATGCTAGACACTATAAGCAATATGAAATACATACGACTATACAGAAAAATCTCAAAATTATGCTATGTGAAAAGCTACCTACAATATTACATGTGTTTGTTCTTTTGGGAAAGGAAAAATCATAAGGACATGAATTAGAGTAGTTGTTTCCCTGGATTTGGATAGAGAAGGGTTTAATTAAAGAGAATAACAAAGAATAACTTGAGGGTAATGATAAAAGGTCACAAAGAAAATTTTTGTGACTTTTGAACTTCTAGTGACAAATTTAAGGTAATTATACATTTTATTTAAATCATTACATTAATAATTATTATGCACATTTGAGACTTATAGTGTTACAATCCAAGCTTTCAATAAAAATAATAAGTTTGTATACAGTATCTAGAAAAATGAAAATTTTCTGTTCTGAAAGTTAATTATAGCTCAGTGTACAAAAATTTTGGGGTGAATTGAGTTAGTGGACCTGAAAGAATATTCTGCAATGAGTAAGTAGAGTTTATCCCAGAAATTGAAGCATACTTCATTTCATTAAAAAAAAATAGCACAATGTATCATAGTAATTCAGAGAGGAAAAAACACAGAATTCTTCCGGTAGACACTGAATAGCAGATGCCAAATAACCTAACACCCACTGGCATATTTTAAAATTGCAAATAAAAATTTTGTTTTCAAAACTATGAGGAATAACTAAAACTTATGGTGATATGTCAGTGTGTGTTATTCACGACCTACTGGTATCTGGAGGACTTAGCGATACTATGAAAAGTAAAGACCTACAGCAAATCACGGGTACAGCTGATTTTTTTGCTGTCTGCCCTGCAGAAATTTTCCCCAGATGATCTCCTTCTACACTTCTAGTGTTAGTTTTGTACCTTCATTGTCACTGTCACTGTCACTGTCCTCACATTGTTCATCAATTTGCTTGAGCGGGTCCAGTAATGTCTCCATTGTGACAATTGTTACTGTGTTTGGCATATCAAATACATCACGGGTAGCTTGCCAGGCTCTGCCATGTGGGCAAGATACTCTCGGTAGCTTGCCGGGCTCTCTGAGAGGGGCAGAGGAATCGAACTCGGGTTGGCCGTGTCAGCCCCATGCAAGGCAAATGCCCTACTCGCTGTGCTATCACTTCAGTACCTTCATTATCCAAAATAATCTTCACTCCTAGTGCCCACTCCAGGGATAGAACTCATTTAACCATAGAGCAGTTCTTTTGTAGGGAACATTCTAAAAAGAAAAAAGCAATTGTTTCTCATCACTTTTGATAAAAGAATCCATTGTTCTAACCCATAAAGGAGATAACATCTTCTTTATGAAATCCTCCCTGACTCCCCCTGCTAACCTTAGACTCATGAAGTTGCTAGACTGCTCTATAATATTCTGCTTTTAAATATTTTAACAACACATTTCTACTAGATTACATTTATTGATAAATTATTTATATTTTTTGCCTTTTTGACCAGATTATTATTTACTTTTGATTGGGTGGGGAATGCATGGCTTTTGCCCCCAGTAGCAGTAGGTTAATGTTACCAATAAATACTAACTAGCACATGCATTAGTGTAATTTATACTTTAAAGAAGCTCTTTTCCAATTTTCAGTCATGTATAAGGACATTTCATAACAGAAGGTACAGAAACCTGTCTTAATCACTTTTTCTTTATTGTGGTATTATTGCGGTAGGGGAGATGCAAAGGTGGTAATTTCATCACTTTTAAAAAGTCAGCTATTCATATAGCTTTTATGACTTTAGTTTCTATAAAATTGTCTAATATGGCTTCGTTAAAAACAAATTTTATGTATTTTAATTAACTTATAAATGTCTCATGTTATTACTTAACATATTACATGTTAATATTTGCTATGTACAAGTAATTTTAAAATTACTAATGAAACATATTAAGGCTCATGCACTGAATAACAATAGGAATAGTTGACAATTTCAATAACTTTGATATATTTTTGCATCAATTAAGAAATTTATGCAGGTCTTTTTTTTAATTTAATTCTAGTTGTGTTGCTTGATACAACAACTGTGCTGGGAGAGCTAGGATGGAAAACATATCCATTAAATGGGGTAAGTTTAAATGACTTTTAAAAATTGATACTCTTGTAGGTGTTTAGTGTCTGCATAATAGTAAAAAGAAAAGTGATTTGGGGTCTGTTCAGTACAAATTTTAATATATAATTCATCCCATGAAAAACTTAAAATACAAATACTACTGGTAACCACCTAGGAATTATATATAAACATTTATGCTTTCTTTTAAAGTAAAAACTATTTTTAATCTTAATAAAACCATTGTTTTATACATAGTCATATTAGAATATATCCCATAAACATTCTTTATAAGTTAATTTCTATGTATATGTTTTTATTTTCCTTTGTCTATGTTTCAGACCTTTTTCTGTTTGTTTATTAAATTTCATAACCTGAATGAATATTGTATATAAAATTCAGATTTTCTCTTTTTTTGTTATTGTTTTCACTTTTGGACCATACCTGGCAGTGCTGAGGGGTTGCTCCTCTCTCTGTACTCAGCAATCTCTCCTGCCGATGTTTTGGGTATCATATGGGATACCAGGGATTGAATCCAGGTTGACTGGGTGGAAGATGAGTACTCTATGTGCTGTAGTAACCTCTCTGGATCCTAAACTTCAGATTTTTATAAGTTCATTTTATAGATATTACTTTAATTTTTGACAATATGAGTTTATTAATAAGAACTGCATGTTTTATAAATTGACAAATAATCATGCTATGGTTCATTTTTTAGCTGATTTTGAAAAGATTTATAGGATATATATTTTTGATTTGTTTTGTTTTTGGGGAAATAGCTAGTGCTGTTTAGGATTCACTCTTGGCAGGGATCTGGGAACCATAGGGAGAGCCAGAGGAAAACTTAGGTTAGTCAGTGCACGACAATCATCTTATTTGCTGAGAAGTCCATATACACTTGACTTCTATATATTTTGCACCACTTATGTACTGCAGTAGATATACTGGTTTCTTTTTACACTGAAGTGTTTCGTAGGCATACTACTTTGTTTTTTGTCTATTGAACAAAATCTTCAATAATGGAGTTGATCAAATATTTTCAGATACTTGATATTTTAAAAATTTCCCTCAGCAAATTGTATTTTAATTACTTTTACCATTTGAAAGTTTCTATTTCCATTATCTTAAATATGTTAATCTGAAAAAAGAATTTAATGCAAATATATTTAAGTATTATTTCTCCTTGAATTTGATGGTATGTATCAATAATTACTTAGTAAACACTTATTTTTAAATGAGAATGCCTATGGGGAGATAATTGTCCTGTCTTTGCTTAACGGGATATTTGTTTCTTTATATTTTTATTGAAAGTAGCTTTTTTCTGTTTATTTTATTTTATTATTATCTGACATTCTGAAAAAATGTATGCCAAATAATATTAGAAATCAAAGAATATAGTCACTGGCCTCATGTACTCATGAACAAAGACTCATTCGTCGGAAAGAAAGATTTAGAGCGTCACTTTCTTGATTGTATTCACCTTGGTCACATTGTCTTTAAGAGCAAACAGATAACCAAGAGACACAGCAACTTATATTTTTACATAGATCTTAGTGTTGTCTTTCTTTTGATGATTCTGTAATAGGTGGTATGATACTCGAGAATATTTCTTTTTTCTTTATTAGTTAACCAGAGTAAATTCTGTGAAATACTGTGCTTTTTCATAGTTTATTATTTGCCAGGCTTTGTACTAAGAAGCTTGAATTTTATTTTCGTAATGATCTTCTAAGGTAGGTCTTAGTTTTATTTTTCAAGTGGAGAAAGCCATTTTAATGAGAATGAGAAAACTTACTTATTGGGTGGAGTTAATCTAAAAAGTTGGGATTCAGGTCATACATGCCTAGTTTCTTTGAAGCCTTGACATATATTCTTGACACTAAAACAAAACAAAGCAAAACTAAAACTAAAATATTCTACAAGTTATAGGCCAAGTAGAGTGAGTGATATAATTTTAGGTCAAATTAAATTATTTTCAACTCTAAAACCTGTGTTTTTATTGTGATACAAATAGAGTATTGGAAACTTCATGAATGACCTGTTTTTCCTAATTGAATGTGAAATCTGCATAATCGATTTAGATTTTGCTTTCCTCTTTTCTATACATACTGCAGAAAGGTGAATTTTTGAAACTACACTAGGACTTGTCAAATGAAGATGGAAAGTATAAGAGGAGAGAACTATATAGAAAAAATGTGGAAGATAGCAGAAACAGTAGTAGAGTAAAGGTAAAAAAAAGGTAAAGGCCCTCCCGTTGATCGTCGATTTGCTCGAGCGGGCCCAGTAACGTCTCCATTGGAGACTTTGTTGTTACTGTGTCTGGCATATCGAATACTCTCGGTAGCTTGCCGGGCTCTCTGAGAGGGGCGGAGGAATCGAACTCGGGTCGGCCATGTTGGCCGCGTGTAAGGCGAACGCCCTACCCGCTGTGCTATCGCTCCAGTAGTAGAGTAGATAATAGAATAGCAGATAGTGAGATAGCAGATAGTGGTAAATAGATAATTGATAGTAGTAAAATAGTACATAGTAAAATTGTAGTATAGTAGTAGATATAATAGAACATGTGGACCTCACAGAGTGAAAATTAGTTTTATCGAAATTTCTAAGCCAGACATAACCTAATATTAACACATATCGTCATTTTATATGACTTGGGTTCTTCTCTTCTAATAGTCTGCCATGTACAGATAAACCCAGTGACCCATTCATATATGCTACATAGGTAAAAGTAACACACGATTCAGATTCTTAAAAGTAAAGTAAAAGTACTGAGGCCTGAGAGATAGTATAGGGGTTAAGACACTTTACTTGTACACAGCTGGTGTGGTTTGATCTCTGATGCTGCATATGGTTCCCCAGTGTAGCGAGGAGTCAACCTTGATCACAGAGCCAGGAGTGAGTTCCAAGCACAGCCATGCCATGTTTTGCCCTATTACAAAACCTTTACCCCAAAATTGAATTGAATGCTCAGTTTCTTGGAATATCACTTTTAGATTAGGTTCTATTACTTTCTTAATGGGCTGGAGTGATAGCACAGCGGGTAGGGCTTTTGCTTTGCACATGGCCGACCTGGGTTCGATTCCTCTGCCCTTCTCTGAGAGCCTGGCAAGCTACTGAGAGTATTCTTTCCGCACGGCAAGGCCTGGCATATTCAATATGTCAAAAACAGTAACAAGAAGTCTCACAATGGAGACGGTACTGGTGCCTGATCGAGCAAATTGATGAACAACAGGAGAACAGTGCTACAGTGCTACAGTGCTACTTTCTTAATAATGAATATACATCAGCAGAGGGAATACTTGAAAATGGGAGCACATGGATACGTTTTATAATAGGTATGGATGTAGGTATGTAATTATATAAAACCAAGGTAGATAAAAGGAAATGACAAAATGGATATACTGCATAAATAAACAGAACTTATAGCTTCTGTTCAAAAAATTACTGACAAAAAGTTACTTACTGACAAGAATTGACCTTATAGATAGCTTTAAAGAACTGACCTTATATAAAGCTATCTATAAGATTAAAACAAACAAGAAAATAGTATGAATAACTTTGAAATAATAAGCTAGCATTGAAAATAGCATGAACAAAATCATCTAGATATCAATATTTGTGAAAGAATTTAAAATCTATGTTACCTATTAGCTTCTAACTCTGCTGTTATTTACTGTGCTTATTAATATTAATATATTTGTACAAAATTTTAATTTCTCAGAAATTTTTAGTGGGGAGAGTTTGAGTTGTCATTTTCACTAAATTTTTCTTTATTTCAGGGAAGGTAATTTAGTTAATTGTTAAGACAAGTCATAGATAAGAAGATAACTAGGTATATTTAGCATCTTATGATAAATATGGTAAATATGTTTGATAATTCTCTGTTAAACTATGTCTTAGAAATAATTTTTTAATTGATTGAATTTTCTTTCTAAGTAGAATACGATTATATTGCAATATCTCTTTAGAATATAATTTTTTAAATTATTTCATGAACTCTTTTTTTAACATAAAATAGCCCATCTGCTTATGTAGTCTACATATGTCTTGATAAACAAACATATCATGCTTATGTAATTAGAAAGGATTTGTGATGTGTCTGTGAATCTAGTCATTACTGATCATTAAGTAGCCTATCTGGTTACTCAGAAGAAACATGGATGAGTGGACATGAGCAGCTGATCTTTATGTTTGCAAAAAGTATTTTCTATATGTTTATTTTCTAAATGCCTACTTTTCAACTTATTTGTGCCAACAATTAATATATACTTCCTTTATTTAAAACAATGTTCAGAATTTAATTTATAGACTTTTATGTCCCTTTTATCTCTCACAATACTTACCACATAAGAATTGTGCAGTGAAGAAAATATTCTATACAAATAATCATAAAGTAAAAAAGGTTTCAGATATTTATAAATAATATTTAATGAAAGGATTAGTTTTAATCAGGGAACGTTGGAGGCAGGCTGTGATGTAAGCATGTGTTTCTTACAAACTATGAAGAAATCACAGTTTGGAAGAGAGGATAAAAATGAAGCGTTAAGAATAGGGAAGAATTTGAAGAAAGACTTCTTCAATTGTGTGCATTATGTTTTAAGAATTTGATATTGTTCCAACGTGCCTCCTTGGTGTAATCTTAAACCTGTACCATTTGTAGGTAAGGCAGGGAGAAAGGGAAGAAAGAGACAGACCAATTTAGATTGGCAGGATCAGTAATCAAGGGTATAAGTTATTGCTCTTCATACCAGCCCACCATAATCTTAAAACTTTGGGGGCCAGAGCGATAGTACAGCAGTAGGATTGTGCGTGGCTGAACCGGGTTTGATCCCCGGCATTCCATATGGTCCCCCAAGCACCGCCGGGAGTAATTCCTGAGTGCAGAGGCAGAAGTATCCCTGAGCATTGCTAGGTGTGATCCAAAGAGACAAAAAAAAAGAAGTTTTATAGGACCATATAGAGGTTCATTAGCATATACACTATCCGTGTGATTTCAGTAACTTTTCTTTAGTCACTTCACC